CACAACTACGATATAAAATAAAATATAAAACAATTTTAAAGATATACGACACCGTTCAAATTCACTTCTTTGGGAGTAAAGTGGAAAAAATATACAATTTGTAATGGATGATCAACATGCGAGTCTACCAAACTCGGATTTTCAGGATCGATGTTCACTGATGCACATTAACTGAAGAGATTAACATAGCGTATATAATAAGAAGAGTGCATTAACTGGAGTTGTCAGAATGCCATTTTCCTGAGGGAAAGGATGAACTTTAATATGCATGCATGGAAGCAAACTATCTCCATTTCAACTCTTAAATTGACACATCTTTTCATCTAGTTGGTAGTAGAAAAGCGTTACACACAAAAGGATGATAAATGGCATTACCAGAGGAGTCGCAACCACCTCATGGTGCCTGACGCCCCGGACGCATAGGGCAGGAATATATTAAAGCACATTTCATGTGAATGCAACGCCTTAATTATAGTGTAAACCAGACACAAATTGCAAATATAACACGATGGTGGCATTTAGAGTTTTCTTAGCGAGCGCATAAATCTTAATTGAAGATTCGAAAGAAAAGTGGGCTCTAACACCATATTGAAAGTAAAAAGTGTAGGCTTATGTGGTGCAAACTTATGGGACCTGCGCACTTTAGAAACAAGTTCAAACAGATGAAAGATAACGCCAGAAAGTTCGAGAAAATCTACGTACCCTTTCAAAGTATGGTTAAGATAAATGAAATTTGTTGAAGTGTGCTAAATTGAGTGCGCTGAATGCTTTCGACAATCGCTATGTTGCCATTATGCACTATTATACAATCACTACTGTTTAACCCTTTAACACACTGCAGGACCGTGCGATCCTCTTTCAAAATAAGCTCTATTGGTACTAGACTCGTAACAGAAGGCGCTGTTGTCGTTTGAAACATGTTCAATACGTTCCTGTAGCCTTCGCCTGATACACCGCCCAAACTCATCACGTCGGTGGCATCAGTCTGATGTAAGACACGCATGAGAGCGGTTGGGTGTATTTTTCAATAAATAATTCGGGAGTTAAAGGGTTAAATATGAAAGTCATTTACAATTCTCAATTCACACGGGACCTCCTTTCTATCGGCCTCCCGCACACAGGAACTTAACGTTCGAATAGATTAGAAGAAAATATATCAAATATTGAATCGATGAAGGGAGCAGAATTGAAAGAAAATATCGTAATAAGATGATCGACAATAAATGGCTAAATGGAAAATACTATGGTGGATGTACAAATGTGCAACTAAGTCAGAATTGTTTTCAAGCACGGATTCCCTCTAAACCCCACCTTAACTTTATTAATTACTAAGTCTTTTGTGACAGAAAAGATGTTCTCTACTTCACATGAGAACATACTAAGAAGATAAGTTTTAACTAGGAGGTAAATGAAACTACATTCCAACTTACTAGGTGTAATTGTTTCTGAATAACCGATGCCCTTCTTTGCATTGTTCGGAAGCAAAGAAGTGGCATCTTCAGTTGAAAGATGATACGCAGCCGTGAGAATACGAACAGCATCAGCCGATGATATCACTCGGGAGGTAAACATCTCAGTAGCACAATCACCCAAGTTAGCAGCACTACCTTCGCCTATCGGTACCTCTTCAAAAGCCTATCCATATAGAGAAGAGAGTGGTTAGTGAGCATTCTAGCCACAGAGGCAGTTTCAATAGCATCAGCGTGTTCTAACCATCTGAAACAGCAGCATTTAATCACCTTGGAAAAATTAGCATAGGTAATAGTAAAAGAAGCATATCTATTAAAACCACAGCATTCACATTTAAGCTTAAAAGCAACGACTATCCGCTTACCAGAAAAAATAACTTAAAGACGCTGCATAAACAAGGCATAAATTTGACAGTTAGGCGAGTGTAAGATCAATGCCAACCCAAGCTTTAAATAAAGAACAAATTGAAGATTTTGCTTCCAAAAATACAATTAAATTTGCTATAGGATCGTTTTTTAAATGGAACAGGTTCAAGTACTCGACACAGCAATAGAAACGAGTAAGTCCAAAAATACTGGGAAATTTACCAAGGCCAAACCCGCAGTTTACCTTTGTCTCGGGATAAACCATTCCCTCAGGCTTTGCCTCCCAAACCGCCCCCACCCCCCCCCTTCCTTTTCCATATTCTAGCTCACGCCACTGTCAACGCTTTGACAGTAATATTTAAGCTAAAAAATTCCCAGTGTGACAATATTTTAAAATTGTAAAAATGGGCTTGAAATACACAAGTTCTTACCATATTATGCTGGTTGCTAAACCGAATATTTGATAAGAAATAATATTACCCCCAAAAATGACGTAGTATCTACATTTAAATCACATGATCGTGGGCTCAGGTAGTGCATCCGATCTCCTAATTAAATACATACCAACACTACAAATAGCATGGAGCGTCCTATTAAAGAAGATTTGAAACAACTCTTAGATAATAGCTAATCCACTGGAAGCATGCACAAAACGAGGAACCAATCACCCAATAACCAGAAAGAGTATCTAGCCTCAACAACTATTCTCACGCAGTCAATCTTCAAGAGAAGATACGACCAAATGGATAGCAGGAACAGTGGTCCGTGAATAAGCTCATGAGATTCATACCAAAGGTGTTTGAAAATATTGATACAATAATAAAAATAACGCGTACCTGGAATGCCAGTTGCATAGCAACAGAGGGTGAGGAAGAGAACATGAGGAAACTCAGCTGAGTCACCAAGATCCTGATATCCGGTTGATCATTTGGTAACTGATAATGAAAGAAACTGTCCCATTAATTAAAGATCAAACGTCTGTACAGGAAACGCATCTTATTTGATTACCGATAAGCTAAACTTATGATCATAGTTTATCACAATGAGCATGTTTGAATTTTTCCGTAGGTATGCTGGATTTAAGAACATGCGTAGACACAAATATGTAAGAATATCGCCAGCTGACGTATATCAACTCTTCGTTAAAAGACGTGGTACTGTATAAGCAGTAATCATTGTGGTGAAAATGTGCTCGAAAGAAGCTGGTGGAAGAAAAAAATTTATAATAGGCACAAGGGGTGTGCGATAGACTTACCTCCACGTGGTGCACTCTGGGCAACGTATACTCATACGGCAAAAAAGTCTATTAATCGACAGTCGACTTCTGATTTCAAACTACCATCACCCCACTGTATGTCATATTCCACCACTTTCACAGAACTCACCTTACCTTTTTCTCTATCTTTGTGTCTGTCTACCTCTTTTACATCTATGAATCGCTCTTCTGTTCCTCACCCCTCGACTTTCTGTTACTTTGATGAACCTTCCCTCTGTGAAGCACGAGGTCAGCTAAAGACCTAATGGTAACAACCAAAACGCCTACCATTTGAAATAAATAAATATAATAGGCACACAGTTAACCTATAATGAGTCTTACATGACCTGTTAATGGAGTTTCCTTTAGAGCAGAAATAGAAAGTCTCGATAAGAAGTTAGCCTTCTCAAGCGGTACCACGATTGCGGTGGTTGAGACAGTTAAAGCCTCAATACTTTACTATAACTTGTGAAAAATTGACGCTCCAATGGCGTGGAACTCAATTTCATGAGAAATGCAAATAACTAGCCCCTTTAAAGCACTTCTAACTCATAAAAAATGAGAGCAGATGATTAAATGGAAAAAAAGTCGATGCATGCCAAACTGCGTAAACGCCGAAAAACATGGGTCAAGATTACGAGATGAGTGAGCAAATTTCGTAAATGGTCTATATGCCCTGACATGTAGAATGCAGATATACTTCTTAACCTCTCAACTATTAGTCTAGACATGAGGAATGATCAGTTAATGCCAGCGTTATGGCGGTATGGAAAGGCACACCAAGCACTCACTCGAAGACTAATTCTGGAGGCACTGTACTTCTATCAGTAACGAAATTAAATGGGTCTCAGGTGAGTATGGTCGTGTTAATATTACAATCATGACCAAATGAATTTATACCTTGGGTAGTGTATCCACAACTTTCTTCAGTACAGCTACCTTTGTCAGCAGTACATCCCTGGAGATTTCATCACCCGGATAAAGAAATATTTGAGCCAGTTTTGAGGGTTTTAGTGGTTCGCAATTTGTTGCGCTATACCATTCACGAGCAGCAGTTGCCATAGCGAGAATTCTATCGGATACGTGAGATATATTGCTGGAAGAGAAGTGGCCCTCGGAACGTTGTTCCCTGAAACTGGAAAGACAACGAAAATGGAGGGGGGGGGGGGGGTTACTAGTTCCGAATTGGTAAGATAAACTTCCGTGCATAAAATTGTTAAATAGGTAAGAAAATCGCATTGTTTATCTGTGTAGTGACTCAGTATTAGCTTGAAATTGATAGCGAAGATTAATGAGGGTTTGTTAAAACCTTAACTAGCCTTCAGAGCAGGTACAAAAATTAGTCATTGCAGCCACAACGATTGAGCAGCGATTTCGTCCGAAAACCAGATATCTAATGCGTCGCAAAGTAGCTACTTCAAAAGAGACAAAAGTATGAAGGATATCTTCTCTCTATCTCTATCCCTCCCTCCCTCTCTTCTAGCGCTTGGAGAGGTTCAAATGAAATCATACGACATTCAGCAGCTTACAGTTTTAACAAAGCACAGACGATAAAAAAGGGGAGTTAACCGGTTTGGAGTTCTTTTAGATGTGAGCAATAAAGGTCATCCGCTGACAATTGGAAAAAATCAGTGAAGAGAGGACACAACCTTGATCGGAAATGAAGGCTAGTTGATTTAAATTTTGATTACTTGTTCATTAAATACTTGATGTTTGTAAAAAAACTGTAAAGCTTCTAAAACCCAGCAACATCTACGATTGCCTCAAATCCTTCAAATAAACCAAACGTATCTTCCTATTTATAGCCATAAACTGTACAATTGAGAGATTGGAAATGAACCAGGCTGGCCAATCAATGGGAATTTAATTGCCAGCAGCACGCAGTTCAAGATGGGCTTACAGCTGAACTTCAGACGGAGACAGTCACGATGGCAAGATCGACACTAAGAAAGAGACTTTAAGATTTGCAGCTGTGTTTTGAAATCACAATGACAACCTTTTGAAAGTAATTCATAAACAAGAAGCCAAAATCAACACAGATTGCATTCCATACTTACAGGTACTTTGTGAGTCTTCCATATTCGTTGATATGAAAAGCCATTGGAATATTGAATTGAATGGCTTTTCGTATGCGATGACAGTCATCGAAACTAAGCTCTGTGGTTGGAAGATTCGCTGCCCTAAGGAATAATAACACAGTCAAAATGGCCTTTACTTAGGAAAATAATATTGAAAAGAGTAGGCACTCTAAAAGGTATAGGAACCTATTTTAAAAATTGTAGTGAGCACTGGCGAAGACAGTCATTTTGTATACGTTAGTTACCCTAACATAAAAAGTATGAATATCTGGATTCGAAAGTAAGAAAACGTAAATACACAATTGAATAGCTAATAAACAATGAAGGTTTGCGATAAGCGACCCATTAATAACAAGCAAAACACTGAATAAACCAATGGATTTTATTTTTAACTCTAACCAAAAATAAATTGCTTTGTTGATCAAAGTGTATTGAATAAACCACCAAGAGAATTCTCGAGAGATGAGGGTACGAGATAGTTTTTGGGGGAAAAATGAGATCGATAAGCGCTAATAGATATGAAATAGAGGAGTTTGAATCAAAGGAAAATTGGCATAGGGAATAATTTTGAAAAAAGCTAAGTTATCCTCCAGCTGTCACAGTTAGTAATGACGCACATAACTAGTAGTATGCGCATTCAAGGAGTGAAGACTCAACAAACAAACAAGTATCCGTTGGGTGTACTCAACTTCGACGGGGTCCGTAAAACTAACGGTAATGAGGTTTGGATTATTGACGCGGTCTAAGATAATTACGTTCCAATGCAGTGGCCAAGCAAAGGAGACGAGTTGATACGTGCTAAGTTGTGTATCGAAATTCACTCTGAACAGTTCCAGCACTTGATGCGAACTATTGATTGCTCAGTATATTAAGAGAAATAATCTGCAACCAGTACTTTAAATAAAACTATGAAATTAATTTACCTCTCTGTACTCAGACGAGACCACTTACCTCGGGATACCAAGAAGTTATCAATGATCAAAGTTAATTTGACAGCTAGGCTGAAATGTTTGGATACTCGTTTTGGCTATAAATTTTCATTCAAAAAAAGAGGGGACAATCACGCCTCAACAGTCATCCGAATTAGAATTAATTGTGAAATAAGCGAGAACGAAAACACAAAGTGAAGCTAACTTGAATTAAGCTAGAAGTCTCCTAAGAGGAGAGTCAAGTAGAACGGCGAGCGTAGAAGTGAAAGAGGGAGGAGGGGGGGGGGGGGGGGGGGGAGAGGAATTGGAAGTTGGAGAAAGGAAGTTAACATCAGGACAGAGGGATTGAGGAGGTAATCGTGATCGAGGCAAAATCATGTGACACTAAATGAATTTTACTGCTTTGCATCGTTCGCTGGTCCGATGAGCGACCAATAAAAAATTATAAACTGGAAACCGGGGCAGAGTCGGTGTTTGGTCGTTGAAGGACTAAAAATGATCCACAACAGTCTTCAAAGGCTCTCACAATTCTCACGTCTCTACCTTAGAGGCAAAAAAGGTCAAGCCTTAAAGCACTCAATAACCAAAATCAAAAAAAACATAATCGAAGCCCTGACAACAAATGTGATGTTACAGCTCAAATCTCTCCGATTCCATGTCATACATTTTGATACGAAACATAACTAATCCACTTGATGAAAATAAACCATAAACCTTGCGGTATTTTGAAGTTTAGCTGAGTATACTATTCCATGTCATTACTTTTGCAAAAACCAGAACAGCAATTAAAAATGACGCTATTGAAAACTACTCACAGGCAGAAATACTTCTTTAAGAGGCTAAGTCAATCGTACTTAATGACACAATTTTGTATTAAAAGGGTCAATGAGGAAGCGAAAATTCATTTCTTACTTAAACGTAACGCCACGAAGAAAATGAATGTAAATGCAGTTTAGAAACACTTGAAACATAATAGTTAGTTGGCCGAGGGGGAGGGGGGGGGGAGAGAGAAGTATTTTGAAACACTTATTTTGAGGAGTAGGATATGAGACATACGCATTAACCGAGATTTTGCCCCAACACCTCAAAGAGATCAATCACAGAATGCCAATCACGACCATTATGTGATCCCGGAATAAATATTCTAGTGGAAATTGAGTAGAAATGGCATAAAATCTGCAAGATGCTAGAAGGGCGGAAATAGGTACGAAGAAGAAGCAAAAAGATTACACTAAATGAGAGGAAGAGATCGCATTGGCAAAAGGCCCATTGGCTTCGCCTGCTTTCTAAAGGAGACAATGCATGAAAATTGGACGAGAACGCTATAACACCTATAGCAAATCAATTAAAAATTTATTCATTATATAGGAGGGTGACTTCTAAGACATCGGCTGTGGACAAACGTAGCATATCCCAGCGTTAAAAGCGTACTTTCTCTTCCAAATGGCATATCATGAGGAACAAAATCTTCAAATTGAGTAATAAGTAAACTCTGATGCCCATTTGGTATAACCTATAAATGAATGAACTCACTTTGCCATTACGGCTCGAACATTTTTTGCGTAGAGTTGGGGATCATCTTTTTCCGCTTCACTGGGGATATATACCGGGAGAAACTAACAGAAATGTAAAAGAAATTATTTGGTGAACAATTAATGGGAGTCAGAGATATCAAAGTTAACATTCAAATTAACAAAATAATACAGATGTCCCTCCTCATTTTCGTGCCGTCTACTCTACTTGTGGTAAACCTCTTGCCCTCAGAAAGATTTCTTACAGCACCAATTCATCTCAAAGCACGTTGGCACTGTGAGTTGGGAGTAAGCCAAACACATGTCAGTACGCCTATAGACATAGAGACAGTGGGCAAGGCGACGCACAGTCACCCCCAGTGGGGTCATTGTGGAAAGATGGCCAACTACTTTCAATTGTATACCATATTACATACCTCGATTAGCCACTATTACGTGCTTTCAACGTATATGCCCTTAAGTGACCATTGCAAAAATAACAACTGCAAACAATTAACCAAGTCACACTGTTGCATTCAGACCAGGTACTTTAAGTCAAGTATCTATCAATGCCATAGGCAAACCTTATTGTTTGATGAATATCAAATCCAAGGCATTAGCAATTTTAGCCGCTAATAAAGATGAAGAAACTAAACTAATTTGTTTCAAACACACACACACCCCGAAATTATAGCTGTAAAGTATGATTGCAATAATTATGACTAGTATTCACTTCAATTTCCAGAGTCGTATAAGGTTGCAAAGCCGTAAGAAAGAGAAGTTCGAGCCTATAACATGAACAATAGCAAAATTTAATAAAGACAATCACAGTGGATAAAGTGAATAGAGGAATTGATAAACGTACACTCCAGGTCCGTCCCACGTCCATGTAATGCTGTCCTAGAGGATAAACCAAAATAAATTAAAACATAATCAAAAAGAACAGTACTAAACAGGATGCTAACACATTACTATCAAATTCAATTATTTGAAGAGAAATAATAAAATTGAGTAATGCTTAAAAGACCAACCGGAAGACCTTGACGACCATCGTTTCAATGGACAGTGCAAGATCATTGGTTTCCATTCCACAAATATCAACTTACATTTTGCAGAATTTACCAAGCTAACTTATCGTGCGTCATGGATCAGGAAGGACATGATTATACGATTAAACTTCGTAGTATTAAAGGAGAGTCGTAATATGACACTAGATAAAATTAGTACTATTGTGCATCGAATAACTTGAGGTAAAAAATGCACAAAGTACACTCGAAAATCCCCCCCCCCACACCCCCACTCCCACCCCTATTAATGAGCTATCTGTTGAAACTATGTGAAACACAATTCCTACACCATTTGTACGTCAGGGTGAACGCATTCAAAACCTTTCCTTACGACTTCAAGATGAGATTTAACCAACCTAGAGTTTACGAAAAATAGATTTGTTCTCAAAACCCAGTTAGTATTAACAGATATCACAATCTTTTCGACAAAGAAAGCAGAGAAGTAATGCCCACTTGACAATAATAATCACAGCAAGCATTCCAAAAGCCAATAAATCAAGAACCAAAGCGTAAAAACGTTGAAAAATGTGTTAAATAGGCACGGATATTTTACCGTCCATTTAAAACGTACACAATAAAAAGGCGAAAGAATAAAAGAGGATTCGTCGAATCGCTGAATATTCCTCTTAAATAATCAGTTGACCATAGGGATCACTATATTCTTTAGAAAAAATAGCTCTGCAAACGCACTATGAAAAATATTAATAATTGACTTAAGAATAGAGACACTACATTGGGTAAACCGAGTGCGACTTTTAAAAAACCCTATTAAAGGAGAATGCTGAAATGGAAATTTGCAGATATCACCTATAGGGGGAAGAGGCAGCTTTGCATATTAACATCCACGTAACTTTTCTATCTTTGGTCAACAAACTCAGTGCAAACGTAAGAACCAGAATAGATTAGCAAGAAATAGAATACCGTCAACAAGATAATAAGGTTATACACTGGAAGTTGGATCAAAATGAGAGATTCGAAATTATCTACACCACCAAACAATTTTAATGAAAAAGCACAATATTTTGAGAAAATTGAACATAATATTGGCATGCCTAAAAACGGTAGATTTTCTATATGCAAACATTTGCCCTGTAGGGTGTAAATAAAGAGGAAGGAGGGGGAAGGGGGCAATAGCTCTTTCATCAGAATACCGAAATAGCAATACCAGATTGGAGAGTAACAAGAATGCTAATCAAGAAAATGAGCTACTAAATACCACCTAAGGTAGGAGATTTTCGTTAGTTAAAAGCGCACAAACGCAAACATTGGAAAGGATAAACGTATGGAATAGTCTCGTCACATATGACAAACAACTGAGGAAACCAAGAACATGGAAGCGCTTAAAAAAACACTTTAAATTCAAAAACTCACTATGCCATAACCCCAACGTAAAATTACCGGCTGAACAGGACATCCAACTGTGAATGCGCCTACAGAACAGTAAAACAAATTTTTCATTTCCATAATTCAATCTCATAAAAGACATCTAGTTTACCTTGCTTATAGTTTATCAGGCACGACCGATTTGTACAGGTGCCTTCAGGGAAGATCAAGATTTGGGGCCATTCCCCAATGGCCTGTGTTCGCCTTTTAATTTCTGCCAGAGTATTTTGTCTAGAAGATGGATCTTCCCTATTTACCAGAATGGGTTGAGTCATCTTGATAAACGATCCAAGTGGCGAAGCAGCAGTCTCAACTTTTCCCACAACAGAAGGCATTCCAAGGGCAAGAAAGACGAGTGAATCATAAAAAGAGGAATGAGGAGCTAGTACGAGGATGGGTGCCTCAGAGCAACATGCACGACGACCAATCTGGTTAATCCAAATGAAACCCCCAGAGAAGAAGAGTGCGCGACCAAAAAATATGAAAATGGGTAGCAGAAGGCGCTGTCGCAAATGACAGAACGGTTTAGAATAGTCAACCCCCCGAGTTGCAAATTCACCAACGAGAAGGGTGAGAAAAAGAAATATAAGCATGAAAAAAAGACGAAAAGGAAATACTAGAATAGCGAAAAGATAGAGTTGAAAACGGCGAATAAGTGATATTTTAATTGAATGAACAAAGGGATTTCTGGAAATTGTGGAATGGGAAGAAACATGATCGAAGAAAATACCGTCTAGCTCCTCCATTTTCACCTAAAATTCTGTGACGAATTGTTGGTGGTGTCATTATGAGAAATAAAACAATCAAAAAGAAAAATTGAATGCCTAAGGATAGTTGAAAGTATGTGCACGATATGAATTTCTAAAGAACCAAAAACGCTAATAGTAGATAGGATTCATCTACTTATTATTATATCAAATAAAGCTCAAAGTTTTCAAAACGGCCTTTAAAACATCAAAAAGATTTCCTAAATAAAATTAATGCAAATAATTACTCAACCAGACAAGACCTGTAGCTAAAATCATATAATCCGAATTTTGATCAAAATCCCCCTATAAGCAAAAAACGCTGCTATGAAAATGTAACCAATGCGGTATTTAGAAAGATATTTTACACAGTATCCAGCTAATAGTATTATCAAAAGATATGCTTCATAATATATTCCACTGTATTGTTTTAAGAGAAAATAGATAAATATACTTTTCTAAGATATTAAAATTAATTATGCTTAAATAACCAGTAGTTATTTAACGTCGATCAATAATTCTTTATATGTTTTTTAATGATTCAATGTGGTATTGCGTTTTCTGATTATCATCTTTGGTAGATGGCAGTGTGCATTAGTTTTTCAGTCAGACACTTGAGTTTTGCTGCCTCCTTTGCCAGACCGACTTGACCCATGCAGTTGGCCATTCCATTCATTGGACTTCCCTCACCAAGTATATAGGGAGCTGCTTTACCAATGGACCTTGTTACGTGATTGGATCTTTCCTATGTATTGCTATTCAGTTTAAATAGCAACATTTTCAACTAGTTTGAGTTTGTCCGAGTTCATTAACAAAGCGTATTTTCATGGGTGAATAGAATTCGTTTCCTATCTGGAATATACAAATTGAATACTAAAATTTTCTTTTAGCAACTATTCGACCATTATGTTCAATCCTTATATAAAATCGGTGGATTTAACAGATAAATCAAGCATCAGTGACAGTTTGAAACATGGTGATGGAAATGTGATCTAAATTATCATTGATTTTTACTGTAAAGTACCACAAAATTGTGTTAAAAATGATCTCAGCTGACCAATTTACAATGGGTTTTCTTCATGAATAATGCGATTATTTCACTTAAAAATAATATTCAACAGACCTGGTTAAGTTGTAATATAAATAATAACTACTTGAGGTAGAAAACAATGGGAAGAAAAATTTGCAAGGCTCGATTAAATATGAACAATTGTAATCCATTTATAAAGCAAATATTATGTTCGCCCTCAGTTGCTACTTAAAAGTACAAATTATTACTTATTTCAAAGACACCAGATCTAGAGCAATGCAACACGACTAGAGAAAAGTCATTGCCAATAGAACTACGAATTCCATTTCCTATAAATATTACGGTAACCAGCGCATAATAGGAATCAAGTTTAGCGGCTCGATTAAACTATTACAGTAATCTCATTGTAGAAATAGTAATGATCGGAATGGTAAGCGTCCCCATAGATAGAATTCAAAATGGATAAAGAAGGAAGTACAAAATACATTAATTTAATGCATTGTGTTCATCATTTTTCACAAAGCTAACAAAAATAAAAGCGTTTATCTGAAAATTTAGATTTTAAATCCATGAACAAAACAGTACTACACATCCCTCGAAGGAAATCTTATTTGATATTTATACTCTGTGCTAATATCTATCATTTAAGGGAAAATTATTTTTACATCTGTATGCAAAAATTTTTGAGCCCATTCTATTTATATATTCTTATTAAATGCATTACTCCAGAATGATTATCAAGTCCTTTTCGTCTTTCAACCTGACAGATATCTAATATAAAACGATAATAAGCGATTAAATTGAACAATATTTCATCTGTTCACTTCAGAAACTCAATAGCTCAATATTCTATCAATTTTAGCAACGTTTGCTGATGAAAAAGGTCCCAATAAAAATAATGGCATGATTGCAATATAATAAATATACGTACGAAAATATTGCTTTCATTAATTCTACATGTACAATAAAAGTTCCTTGAAAAATTGCATTACCTTACTCGCAAAGAAATAGGAGTAAGATATATTCAGTAATAAATGCCAAGAAATACCTGTTGCTTCTTACTCAACTCTATTGAAAGAATTCACTAATATCGCACGATAAAACGAAAAGTATCATTAAAGATATTTTTAATACAAACGGCCAATGCGAATGAAAATTTATGATTTTAAACCCATTCAGGAAATTAGAGATACCGGAGTAGCCTAAAACATATTTTTTGGTATTTGTTTTCACGCTGGTAGAAGGTCAGATAAATCCCCTGTAATTTAGGAGGCTGATTTAAAGCATTGTATTAGCTATGCTTTCTGTTGCATCAGGTTTTCGTCGTATTGCTCCAGTCTTTAAGAGTGCTGGCATTCTAGCTGCATCAAAACACACGCTTCCAGATCTTCCTTATGATTTCGGAGCGCTGGAGCCTGTTATCTCTGCTGACATAATGAAATGCCACTATCAAAAGCATCATGCTGGTTATGTTAATAATCTAAATATCGCCGAGGAACAGTTAGCTGAAGCTATGCATAAGAATGATGTTACAAAAATAATTGCTCTTCAGGTACTCTACTTGATCATTTACTTTATGCTTATTTGTTGATTTAATGGATTCTGACATTATTTTACCCTTATAGCCTGCTCTTCGTTTCAACGGTGGTGGTCATATTAATCACAGCATCTTCTGGAACAATTTGTCACCCAACGGAGGTGGTGAACCAGAAGGGCCTTTAGCAGAAGCAATCAAACGTGACTTCGGGTCTTTTGAGGCTTTCAAGGGGAAGATGACAAATGCTGCAGTTTCTGTTCAGGGCTCTGGCTGGGGTTGGTTAGGACTTGAACCAGGTTCTGGTAAACTGCACATTGCCAGTTGTCCAAACCAAGATCCTTTGGAAGGCACAACTGGTAAAACATACATTGTCTTACATATAATTTTTCTCGTTTAGGCCTCAAGCCATTGCTCGGTATTGATGTTTGGGAGCATGCTTACTACCTGCAGTACAAAAATCAGCGCCCTGACTATGTGAAGGCCATTTGGTCTATTATTAACTGGAAGGATGTTTCGCAACGTTTCTCTAAAGCACAGTAAAGAGTTGTTTATTCTTCGTTCTTCAATCAAGAATTTGTGGCATTGTAGCAACTTTTCTTATTAATATACCTTCTATTTTCAAATGAGTTATTTTCCCTAAGAAACTTGGGTGCTAATTTTATGCTTAAACTCCTAAAAATCGATTGGATGTTATTAATTGACCTCTTTATTCGAGAGGAATTATAATAGTCTAACATCGGATTCGCTAAACTTAATTAGTGTAGGTTAAGTGTTTTAGTCGTGTGTCTTGCTTGTATTTATGATAATTGGTAATTGAAGTGATTTAAATTGGTAATAACGGGATAGCTTGACCAATTTTTTTTTCCTAGATCATTTGTATTTCTTGTTTAGTAACTCTTTCTTTGTTAAAATTCCATAAATGACTTCTTTTACTTTCTTTTTGGAGGACTTTCACTATATTTCTTCTTTCGCCTATGAAATTATCAAATGGTACTTAGCAGTCTTTGGCTAAGTAACCATGAATTGAGGAAGGTGTGCTTTAAAGCGAGATTTAATTAGTGAACCTTCATTATTATCAACTGTGGTAATAAAAGCGAAATAATTCGTTAAAGGTTTGTCCAATAGGCGTGTACTATAGGCACTATGTGGAGAAAGAGCAGTCAACGAAAGCGGTTTGTTTAAAATAATATTGAAAAGAAATGACCTGGTGCTGAGAGGAATTTTGCTTTTCCTCAAATTATATGGCTCACCTCCATTGTCTAATTACTCTTTTATCTTCTATGGTTGGGTCCTTACACGTGATGTAAGCTGCAAGTTGTTTTTCCTTTTGCACCAATGTTGAAAGTGCGTGAAATGTCAGTTTCTGTCTTTGAAATAATTGTAAACTCCTCATTGTCACTAATATCCGCGAGGCCTTGAGTGCTCTAATCTGGGGATTTAGCAATTCGGGGCAGTCAATAATATCATATGATTAGTTACTTGGATGTTGTGTAAAATATAGAAAGCCCCATCGAACCTCGAATTCCAGTTTGTTCTGTACGACTTAAAGGATTCACTGTCAATGAATGGATCAAGTTAAATGTTGACTGTTTGTTCATAATTTTCAAAAAAGAACTAATCATTATTTTTAATATCAGTCACATCGAGGGCAATCTGCTTCTCTACGCATTTTCAAGGTTGAAGGACGCAAAGTAAAGTACAGGTCACGTAGGAACGTGAATTCAAGATTGTGACGCACGATTATTTTTTTATCCAAGATGAGTTAAAGGATGCACTATGTATTGCCTCAAGTACTTTTATTTGATCAGTTGAGACTAAGTAGCTAAGTTCAACATCTCATTCGATTATTTATAAATTTGCATCACATGTTAGGCCAGCGGTTGCTTAGATATGAAGAACGGGGTGTGCGATAGACTTACCTCCACGTGGTGCACGCTGGACAACGTATACTCATACGGCAAAAAAACTCTATTAACTGGCAGTTGACTTCTGACTTCAAACTACCATCACTCTGTTGTATGTCATATTCGACTACTTCCATAGTAATCACCTCACATTTTTTCTACCTTTGTGTCTGTCTCTTTTACATCTTTGAAACACTCTTCTGTTCCCCCCCCCTCTCGACTTTTTTCCACTTTGATGTTCCTTCCCTCTGTGAAGCCTAAAGTCAACTTAAGGGCTAGTGATAACCATCAAAATGCCTGCCATTTGATATATATATATATATATATGAAGAACAATTAAGGAAGGCGGGAAGAGTAATTTCACTTCTCAGATG